GAGCTGGCAGTGCGCTCAGAGAAACAGCTGCGACCAGCCTGGGGACAGAGTGTGAAATTGTGGTCCCCGCTCGGCCGGTGGAAGGGTTTCAGCAGAGTCCAAGACATGCTTCAGCTTTCTGTGAGGGCTGTTAATGTTCTGCACTGATTCACAAGAGCACCAAACCTTGATATTTCTTCTGTGGCCTGGCAGGAATTTGGGGTTAACGTACGGATGCTCACCTCCTTTCTTCTTTCTTGCTTTTTAGTGCCCCAGGGTGGTGAGGCAGGAATTGTAGGGCAGAGCTTGGGGTTACATTTACATTCTCCTTGGACAGGGAGATGACAGTTGAGGTGGGAAGAACAAGCTCTGACCCTGAAAGTTGTGATGGGACCCTGAACTACCCCTATAGTAGTGTTTGAAGAGAATTATTCCTTTTATTCCACGGTTAAAGCAGAAAACATGATCATGCAGCCTAAGAGACATTGGCAGTAGAGGCAGGAAAGTGCTGCTGGAGCACTCAGTGCTTCCCCCTGAAGGTTTCCCCTTGGACCCCATAGCTGAGAGTATACCTGCCCTAACTGCTCCAAAGCTAGAATATTTTTTGTAAGGAATAGGAGGACACTAAGTCCACTGCTGTTCACTTTAGGTACAACAATCTCAGTAAAACTCAGTTAATGAACCACATAAAAATGGCCATCTGGTTTTGAGTTGATTTTTGTTCCCTCTCAGGCTATTCCACTAAGCCCTGCCTGCCAAAGCTGCCTCCCAAAAACACAGATCCAAACTTCGAGCTCCTCCATCCCCAACCCAAACCAGTGGGCATTGGGGTTGCTGAGCAATGCTTGGAATTTTTTGCATCTATTTTGCTCAAAGCCAGGAATCTCAGCAGCTCTGCTGACAGAATAAGTGCAAGGATGCAGAGGAGACAAAAGTGTTTTGCAAAATGTGTTTATATTCATTGTCGCTGGAGCAGCACAGATATCTTCCCACTTGTCTTTAGGATAACAATAGAACTGCCTTGTCAGCCAGCCAGCAAAACAGCTCGAAAGCGGCAGCGCAAAGGAGCAGAGAGGTTCAAGTTAGCAAACAGTGGAACCTGTATCCGTTCCCTGCTGGGCACCACAGCCATTCAGAGAGGAATCCCTCCACACAAACAACATCCTCCACCCATACGTAAGGTTTTCGCCTCTTTCCTTTTGAACCATAGCATTTGGGAACCTGTGCAGTCCAACATAGTAGGACACAGTTTGAGCCAAAGATCTGCCAACGGCCCCAGGGGTTGCCAGCTTTGCAGAATATGTGAACGGGGACTGGGGCTTCAGGAAACATGTGAAAACCATGCTGAGAGCCAACAGGAAATCTGGGACTCCTCAGGCAACACGATGTACCCTGCCACGGAATAAGGAGATGTTCTCAGGGGTAAGCAAGGCAAGCTCACGTCTGGGCTTGGCAAGTGAAGAAGAGAGCAGGGAGAAAATAGGGGAAGAATAAAAATGCTTCTTATATAGCAAAATGGATAGAGGATAGAGTGAGATGAAGGTCAGGAGACCGAGCTGCAGGAACTAGGATGCTCTACATTCTCAAGGGATTCAATACTCTGGGACACAATGAAAGGTGCTGGCTTAAGTTTTCTGTTGTTCTGCTTAGCAACTAACAGCTGTTTTTAACTAACACCCAAATACCTCCTCCTGGCATTAAAATAAACAAGAGATCTAATCCCAAATCTCTCGGGGACCTTGCATTAGGGAGGCTGTCTATAAAATGGGATGTCAGACTTTTTTCCATGGTCGTAAACCATACATAGGGGGATATTTGTTTCTGCTGTGCTGTGGCCAGGGAGTAGGGTGAGGAGTAGTAACCACCCCAGCCTTGGTCTGAGAACTGCTCTGTCCCTGTATGAAAGACAGAGCAGAGCTGGATGTGAGGTGAGAAGGTTGATGTCATGCAGCAAGAGATGGGAACACAATGGGGTAACGCTAACCAAGCCAAAGGGATGAGAACTGATTATTATAGGAGCACCATTGCAGGGGGACAGTCAAGAAGCAAGAGTAAAGAACAAGAAGATAACAGAGTTAGAAGCAAAATGAGAAACTACAGAAAGCTCCTAAGAGCTCAGCTCTGCCATACTGACACAAAACCTGTGAGACTGGGAGAGGTTTTTCTAAAATCAGAAATTCAATTTTAAAGCTGCACCTTGTAAGCAATGAAGCACTTTTTACCTAGAGATCTGAAATGTCACGTCTTCCCTGCAGTGACATTTTGGTGACAAAATGCAGCTGCGCTTTGAAAGCGGTTTTTGCTTTTCACCTTGTCACTTTTCAGAACATCTGTAATACGTCGTGCTTTCAGGGGTTTGAGCTGTCTTTGGAGGATCACGCTCCTTCGCTGCACTGGGAACAGTTTTGAAGAGCTCAGAAACCAAAGGTGTTTCTTTCCTTGACTGGAGCAGGAGTTGAGTTAAAAAGTGCACATTATTCTGGTTTCGTTCTGCATGAAACCATCCTTACCAAAGCCAGGCTGTGAGAGTAGGAGTAAAAGAGTCTATGCCAGGAGGAGATGGGGTAGATCATTCCCTTGGCTGAAGGTGATAGACGCTATCTCAGGTGGGGACATTCCTCCAACTGAGAATGATAATCTGTGCTGGTGTTTGGAAATGAGGTAGAAATTTAGCCCTGTACGAGTGACTGAAAGAGAAGGGATGGTTTTATTCTGAAGTTTATAAAGACTGCCTTGGTGTCTCAATGTTCCCTCAATCTTCACCTGGAAGCTTTCTGCATACAAAGCAATATTAGGTGCTAACAGAAAATAAAAACACACGGTATTATCCTGCAGAATAGCCTGCTGTATGCAGCAGACATATTCTTCATGCCCAATAAAAAAACTATGAACCAGCACTTACAATCCAGGAGGACACAAAACCAAAGCAATTATTTTTGGACAGCTGTTATATAGAATAACAAAGTGTGGAGAGATGTTAATCAGCAAATGCAAACATCAACAAAATTTAATTATTTCCCAGGCCAATGTTTTCCAACTGTGACAAGTAAAGGTCTTTTTTATCACCTGGTTTTTATAGGAAAAATAGGTGATGGCTTTGAAGAGTTATGCTGATAATGTTTGGGCTAGAGGTAGGGGAAAGCAGGGAATCAGAATATACCAACATTGTAATTGTCATCAACAACTTTCTATTCTCTAGCACTCAAACATCTGCATTTAATTGATGATACAACAGAAAAGTCTTTTGCTCTTCTCTAAGCGAATACAAAATTTTTTGAAAAAGAGGGTCTTGTACCAAGAATAGATTTTGTAATATTGGAGATGAATGATATGCTACCTTGCAATTTTACCAGTACCACCGCCTGTTTCACCTGCAGTGTTCCTAACTATTTCTAGTCTAGCCCTTTACGTAGCTTTGTCAATGAATTGCGTACCTGATTTTAAACTACAGCTTCCAGTTTAATCGTGGACCTTGTCCAGCTCTGTTCCCTGATTATGCAGAGAGCACCATGACTGTTAATGTTAGAGAGCATAAGAAAAAGCAGTTGCACACTCAGCTCACACTTATCCAAAGTAATAGGGAGAGGGCTATACCTCAAACCCAGCAAAAACATCGTCTAGTAGAAAACACCTATTAATAAGCTGTAAGAACGTAAGAGCAGGAAAGTTACACTGCTGAAAAAAGGGACAATAGGACAATTTTCTACAGTGTGCCAGTTTACCCACAGAACCCACTGCCACGGGGTACCACAGAGGGCAAACCAGGGTTTGACAATGATAGGAGAAATAGAAGTTGTTGACAGTTACATAAGCTTGGATAAAAATGTCAAGGCTGATCAGCCCCCACAACTATAGTTTTGAAGCCAATTATGTCTCATGGGGTTTTATAACCTTCCCTACACACTTGCAGCTGGTCACAGAAACCTTCCGAGGTGCAGAATCGTGAGATAAGAATCCTTGGGCTCATCCAGGAGGGCAAGTCTGTTTTACACACCCTGTCCCTCATTTTCTGCTTCTGCAATGTGGGAGGTTTCCACAACACACCTAGCAGTTAGAAGATGCTTCTGCTGCTGCCTCAGATGTGAAATTCCAATCCCCATGGGGCTCTGACCCACACCAGCACGGGCGCACACAAGGGCTCAGGGCACCGGAGACCTACAGACAACTGACATTTCACCACAGCTTTCAAAAAGCTTCTTTTTATGCAAGCAGCTTGTCTTGGCAAAGCAACTCCCACTCACCCCTCATGAGAAAAGGATGGCTCATGAAAGCACAGGTTCCCTCCCAAAACACACACTCTATTTCATAGGGTAGCTCATGCCTCAGCTTAGACATCTTCTCCTGCAAGACCAGGAGAAGTGCATCCATGCTGGGGGGGAAACAGAACTGAGGGGGTTGCCTACAGGCAGAGGAAGAGATACTTCTCCTTTGTCCTGTGGCCAAGCTTCTCCAACAAGTAGCATCCTGGACTGAGGCACTTCCCTCTGCTCCTCCAGAGCATTTACTGAGCAGACCCAGCTCCTCGCCGACCTCAGCCTCAAGAGTTTTTGTCACTTCCCGGGGAGTGCTTAAGGGTCCTGGTGAAGACAATCTGACAGGGAGGAACTGGCTGCTTCCAGGCAGATCTGTTTACTCGCCCCCCTCCAGCCCGGCGCGCGCGGCCGGGGCTCTCCTCGCTCACAGACTGACAGCCCTGTCAGGTCCCATTCATCGCGGAGCTGCCGGTTCCTCACACCTCCCCTCGCTCCCCCGCGGCCAGAGCTGGGGAGCCGAGACTCCGCTTGGTGATTGATGCATAGCGTTAATTGCCGGCGCTCATCACCGGGTGGTGAAGCTTCATTCCATAAAAAGGCTTTTTTAGGGTGGGAGGTGCAGGTCAGGACTCCCGCACCCTGATGCTTTTTTAGAGACAAGGCAGCGGGGAGCTCGTACCGGCAACCTCAGCCCAACGAGTCGCTGCTGGTGGATTAAAGAGGAAAACAAGCCCAAGCGTCTTTCTTGTTAGTTCGAGCTGTTCTTACCTGGAGGGTGGAGAGAAGGACTTGCAAGCCACTGGCTTCTCGTTCTGCCATGCTGCTCCCCACTCACACTCCCTCTCTCTAGCAGCAGGTACAATGCAGCCCGACAGCCCGGCTGCCAACTTGCCTTGCTGCTGCCCCTGTGCCGTTTAAGAAACGAAGAAGCTAAACACAGATCCCCAGCCACATGCACGCTGCTACCACCAATAATCACAGCAATGCAACTCTAGACCTCAGCAGGAGAGATAAATGTACCCCCCCCCTCCTCTCCCTCCCAGCTCTCCCACTGTGACAAGAAGATTAATTCCTATATAAAGAATCCCGGGGATTAAGTAAAGTGCTCGGGAAAGGTCTGGGTGCTTGGTGTGTGGCAGGGGGAGTGTGGGGAGGGTGGCAATAGCAACAAGAAAGCAGAAGAGCTACAAACCTCAAAGAAAGCCAGGGAGAAGGGGAGGGAGCGCGCTGGCTGCCTGACAGGCATTCCCAGCTGACCTGCTGATCCGTTCCAGACCCTGTGTGGACTCCTCTCCATTTGACTCCCTTCCAGTGAAATTGGAGACACGGGGGAAGGCAGAGGGAGCGGGAGAGAGAGATGCCCTCGGTCTTAATGAGCGCTGACAACGAACGGAAGATACACGCGGCATGAGGGACATGTGGAGCGGGTTCGCCGAGGCTCGCGGAGGGTTTTTGGCTTCCAAGCCCAGTGATTCTCCCAAGTCCCAGCTGCTACGGCCACCAGCAGTGCCCGGACGAGCTGCCACGGGGCAGGGACCGCCAACAGAGGGGCATCCCGTGGCTGCACAGCAAAGGCCAGGGAGGAAAGCCACCTCTGCAGAAGGCAGTGCAGGAGAATTTTCTCCGAGGGCCGCTACAGTGGTTCACAAATGCCTTTCTCTGTCTGTAAGTATAGTAACTCCGAGCCTAGTTCACTCCCCAGTACAGAAGCCAGGCTGTAGTACAGTTGTAGTTGTGGCTCGAATTCCTAGGAGGGCACGGAGTCCACTTTTAGCTTCAGCTGAATGATATCAAAGGACTTGGTAAACAAGGAGGAGCAGGTAAAGAAGTTGAGTAGAGGTTCAGATGAGGATTTTCCATTTTTCAATGTGAAAATGTCAATTATTCCAAAGCAAACATTTTTTTCAGGGACGCAGCTATTTCACTTCAGCTTTCTTAACACCAGAATGGCACTGCTGGTCCAGAGAGACATCACTCCTGGGTGGTTCAAAGGCTAACAGTGGAGACAATTACTTGATATGCAGAAGACGAAGGTTAGATCTTGTCTTTCTAATATGGGACCATTAATTTCAGTCTTTTGCTTCTCAAATAAGTACTTCTTTCTGGTGTGGGACTTTTTGGTCCCTCCAGTAGGAGTTTTTCCACTTTGAATGAATAACTAAGGGGTTTCGAAGCAGTAACCTGAAGACAAAGACCTACAGAACTCAGTACCACACCAAGACATGGTAGACAGCCAAGGTGTGCAAACATCTCTTTGCTGATGTCAATCAAGCAATCACAGACTGGAGACAGAACTCTAATCTTTTAAGAAGCAGTTAAATTAAGAATAAAAAACTTCACTCTTTAGCAAAGACTGTTTTCATGTGATCATCATTACACCCTGCAGAACCTTCATTGATCAAGTGCTTTAGGCAAATGGTAAGGCAAATCCTCCCCAGCACAGCCCAGCAATGTGTGAACAAGTGGCACAAGCATGACATTCCTTGGTTTCTCTGTGTGCCAGGGTCCCAGGATGTCAATACCCCGTTATAAAATAAACCAGATTAAAATACCTTTGCCATAATTATGGAGACACAGTAGTCCATTCAGAGAGAATGCCATGAAGACCATTGATTGATGGACAAGATGCTCTACAGACAACTAGACATAATAAGAAGAGAAAGTCTATGGACTCCTTTCCTATGGAAATTCAGTTTCAGAGATTTTGGTTCTCTTCAAAAAATGTTGGATTTCAATTAAAAAAAAAACAACTGTCACACTCCATGAAATACCATATTTTAGATAGAGAGCTTAGGGCACTGAATTTTTGGCCATTTTGGGTGAGATCTACAGGTACTAGAAAATTGAGAGTTCAGGAAGTACACAGAGGGGTGTCCATCCTTCCCTTGCGAAAAGATTCATCCTAAGGGTAATGGAAACACCTAGTGCCAGTCTTAAATTTTCCAAGAGTTAACACACTTGACGAGTGACGTTGAAGCAAAGCTCTGGGTTTTTTTCACATCAGCAGGACTCAGTAAAATCTAATAACAGACTGTATACAAGGAGGGGAGAGAATCAAGGGAATGCAGGTACGGTGTCCTCAAATGGGCTGGGAAGGAGGAAGGTGGTTAATAGGTTTTATGAGCAGTGTCAACACACTATGTCTTTCCCAATTTAGTACACTGACGGAAAATTACTTCAGAGCTAATTAGAAGCTGTTTAAAGGAGCTCTTCCACATTGTCACTTTGTTCTCTTTCTTCTGACAATTGTACCTGTCACTAGTACTGTGTGGAACTATTAATTCCTGCCGTGTGGATTTTCAGAAAGCAGCGAGAGCTGATGGATGTAAGCAGGCAGCCTGGATGCCATGCAATCCCTTCCCCTACTACACCACACAACCCCAGACCCCCTCTTGCACTAGGACAGATTCATGTACATCTCACAGTGATCCCCTCTCCCTGTTGCATCATAAAACGCTAGATGAATATTTAGCTTTCTACCCTACCTAGAACACAACCTAGGTTCCCAGCTTCCATAAGCACTTCCCAGGGCCCAATGATCTGGCTCCTCCTCTCTATGTGAAGAAGCTTTAGAAACAATTGCAAAACTTTCTCTGTAAATATGTCAGTCCGAGAGGAAGGAAACAGCAAAGCTTGAGGGGAAAACAATCTCTTATGATCTTTACAATTTTGCAGTAATTAGCTTGGCTGTGCCCAGAGAGTACCAGGAAACATTGCATAACAGAAAGTTCTGGAACTTGCATTTGATTTGAAAACAAGACACAATGAGAAGAGTTATTAACAAATGAAAAGCTAATGAAAGACCCCAAAAGTAACAGTGATGTTTACATTGATGTAAGATGTAGAGCAAAATGCCTTTGAAACCAAATTCCCAGCTAGAGATCTCAGAGGCCTCTAATTATTCCATACCTATTACTTCCACATTTTGTTGAATTTCCAATTTTGTTGTTTCTAAGAATAAGAGGTCCCCCACCTCAACACACAGAGGCTGAATAAATTAGGAAGCCTACACAGAGATAAATGCCAGAAGTAAAGCATACAGATTCTCCCTTTCCATTCACATTATACTGCCAACCCAGTTTGAAGATTAGCTTGTTAGTTTATATTGATGTTACTGTTGTTTCCCCTGTGCCCCTAGGTTTGTGTGATCCTTAAACAAAATGAAAATTAAACTCATGGCTCCAGCTTCCTACAAGAGCCAGAGTTAATGTTCTTGTGGGGAGGACAGATGGGATTAGAAACACAAAGGCAGGACCTCTGGACTCTCTGCAGGTGCTGCACAAGCTCAGACCAGTAATTTTCTTTTCTTGTGCTCCAGGGCTCAGACACAAAAACAAGTTAGAGGTGTCATCTGATCTCTAGTAAATATGCATACATACTTTTAGCCCATAGCAAAGGGAAGATAATTCAGGATCATTTTACCTGCATTAAAAGTGCACTCTGTCCAATTATTTCACATTTTATGAGTATATGCAGAAACCATTACCATGGATCAGCTGACACTAAGTAATATATTAACCGCAGAAATTTGTTCCTGTTTCTAAACCTCTGTTTTCCCTACTTGTGAAATTCTGAAGTTTTCCTTATGGAGATGTAGTACAGCCATAAAATTTGCAAGCCTTCATCCAGAAACATACAGAAGAAAAAAAATAATAATTCAGCTAGAGCATTGCATTAAAATGATATAAAGTTAAAAATCTCTTTGGATAAGATAATCTGGAAATTTTCCTTTTGAACAAAGTGATGAGAGGAAGAGAGAAGTCCTCTGCCAGGTACCCAGCAACCATGCTGACTGGTAAATTAAAAGTGGGAAGCCCGTACAAGAATTTAACATATTTAAATATAATTGTCCTGTATTATTTTCACTGAGTCTGTCACCTCCAAACTATAATTCAGCCTGTTCTTACCCATCTGAACCCCAACTGAATCACATTTCAAAGTAATTTACAGGCTAAAGAAAATTAGCCCGAAGAAGACTGAAACACAGCAAATGTAGGACCGGAATCAATATCATCAAAATAAAGTGCCACTGCCAAACTTCACATTTCCTGTCTAGAGTCTGTACCAACGAACTTCAGAACTCATTCAATTTTTTGGACATTAGCATTAAATGGAATCCAAATAACGAAAATCAGCTTGGAAACCTATGATTAACCTGAGGATATTTTCCTTCTGATTCTCAAAAAATTGACACCAGTTTTGCACTCACATTGCACACCTGGTTTCTAATAGGATTATTTCCATTTTTCAACCAGTGAGATAGATAAGAGGAGAGTTAGGTTCCATTAAAAATGGGAAGAAAAAAAAAATCTAATTGGGTAAATTATTCATTCCAAAGGCAGACTGAGTTTTATGAAATGCAATTGAAATATCACTGTGAAGAATACCCAGTTAGCTATCCATGTTTCATTTAGATTAAATAGAGGAATGAGTTCCCCTATCAAAATTACATGTAGCTAAGAAATGTATATATTTTAATATGGGAATATTGATTTTTCTATTTTCTATTTCTTTTCTCTAAAAAAACCCTTCATTTTCATTGTCTGTCATTCAAGCACAACGCTTATTGTAAGTGATCGCCAAAACAAAATTAATATATATGAATGTGGAGAAGAGATGATCTTCCATTTGTGAATGTCTACGTAGAGGTTTACCCATCTGAATAACATCACCCAACCCGAAACAATTTACTCTTCTGCAGTAAATGTGTTCTACAGTGAAATGGTTAAAATGGAAGTGAAAACACAAGTCATGACGCAGAAATTGATTTTCAGATGCTGCTGGAAGTGACCCAAGGCTCTTGCAGCCACTGGACGGGAAGTTAATATCTTCTGGATCAGAAACAGACCACTGGAAACTGCTGGTGTTACACTGGTTTAATATGAGGCTGGTACTGTTG